GCGAGAGGAGAGATCCTGTTTGAATTATCAGCACGCATCTGTCTTTATCAAACCGGTAAAGTGACGCCCGGAATCCGGTAGTTTCTTTCACTACGCGTAACAATCCAACGGCCTTTTGATTGATTTCCCTGCTCGGCTACTAATGAACGTACGCGTACGTTGAAGGGAGAATATATAAACTTTCTCTCGTCGTTCGTTGAAAACGTATGAACAGAAGGAAACGAAATGTTCGGCTGGAAAAAAAAAAAGGAAAAATAGAAGAGAGAGAGAAGAGAGAGAGAGAGAGAGAGAGAGAGAGAGAGAGAGAGAGAGAGAGAGAGAGAGAGAGAGAGAGAGAGAGAGTGAGAGAGAAAAAGGAAAGCGAGAAAGAGCAAAAACAAAATGAAACGAAACGAAACGAAACGAAACGAAACAAAAAGAGTAAATAAACAAACAAATAAAAGAAAGAGATTTGGCTTACGTTCAAATGTCGGAGTCTCGTATCGGAGAACACGCGAGATATCGTGAAGGAGACGAAGCCAAAACTACTGGAATACGTGCGTGCCTGGTATATTTGTAAGCGCATAACCCAGACATACAAGAAAGTATATACATATGTGGATATATATATATATATATATATATATATATATATAGTATACTTCGATATTAACGACACGCCTTCCGGCCAGAGAATAATCTCCATATGTATGGCAAAATGATACTCCATCGAGCGGCAAAAACCAAGAAGTATTTGCATTCATTTGCGGAGCTTCGATAATTACGGTTATTTCGTCTAAGAAGAGAGCTTTTCTTATTGCGTACGTCATTCTTGTCTTATACTCCTACAGCACGCACATATATATATATATATATATATATATATATAAACATACATGCATACATATATAGAGAGCATACATATTGTAGATATATCCATAAGGGAGGAAAAAGAGAAAAAAGAAGTCTATTTGCGAAGGAGTCGTCGATAATGTAAAAGGATTTTACTGCAAAAAACGATTTTGAAGCGAAGAAAAAAAGGCAAAAAAAAAAAAAAAGAAAAAAAAAAGAAACAAAACAAAAATGAAATAATAAGGAAAGGGAAGAAGAAAAGATTAATTATTAAAATTATAGGAACATTACCTATATATCGAACATTCTAAATATATATATTTGCATGTACTGTGCGTGTGTAAGTGTGCGTTCGTGTAAAGTCTATAATGCAAAACGTGGTGTCGACAAAGCGATGTCGACAACATTTGCACTCGCTGCGTTAGGTGGCCTCGGCGTTCCTCGTAAAACGGATTAACGAGCTTTCGGTCGCATCTGATATTCCGCGACCACTCCATATAGTCTTCACATATATACGTACATACATATATATAAATATATATACATATAAATATATATACATATAAATATATATACATATATATATATATATATATATATATATATATATTCAACTATCTCTAAGTGGATATAGAACGTAGAACGTGCATAGTCTACAGTATATGGCGCACGCGTAGTAGAGATCGAGTCGGGGGTTCGGTAGTTGATTAGATTTAAAAGAATGCTCCGTCACCTGCATCGTTGAAAGGAGACTAGGCGGCCCAGAGGCGGGCTGCAAGCCTCGGAGGGACTCGAATACTACGTGGTAGGGAGAACGAGTGAGCACGAGTGAAGTAAAGAGAGAGAAAGATACGATAGACAGACAGAGAGAAAGAGACATAGAGAGAGAGAGAGAGAGAGAGAGAGAGACATAGAGAGAGAGAGAGAGAGAGAGAAAGAAAGAAGAAGAAGAAGAAGAAGAAGATAAAGTAGTGGGAGAAAGAAGAGGATGAGGATGAGGATGAGAAGAAGAAGAAGAAGGAGGAGGATGGAGAAGTAGAAGGAGAAGTAGAAGGAGGAGGAGGAGGAGATGAAGTGGAAGGGGAGGAAGCATGAGGCCCCAGCGATCACTGACCGCTTTCGCCGATCCCTGCCGCCAACTAGCCACCTTTCAGCGGCGCAGCCATCGGAGCATCCTTCTTCTTAAGGCCCATTCACATCGCATTGCTAATCAAACTCGACACGGTCTAAAAAAGAAGTTCCACGGGATTTCGGTTCCACGGGATGGGAGAGACTCGTGGAACGAAAGAGAAAGAGAGTAGCCAGAGGTAAGATTCGTTCTCCTTTCTTTTCGATCCTTTCTTTTTCTTTCTTTCTTTTTTCCTTTTTCGTTTTTCTTTTCTTTCCTTTTTCTTTTTTTTTTCTTTCTTTTTTTGTTTCCCTTACCCTTCCAAACGACGTTCCGCGAGGAGGACCCACGGGGCCCGGAAAAAGGTATATTTCGGCCTACCCGAGATTTATTATATTATCGACAATGTATTTGCTCGGCTCGAAGAATGCGAGTTCCGTTCGACAGGTTTTCTCTTGTTGACGAGCACTCAACGAGGTTATTATTTATTGGCTTCGTCTAACGGTGTCCAAAAGGCGGTGACCAAACGCGATGACATGAGAAAGAGAGAGAGAGAGAGAGAGAGAGAAAGTTTTCACTCTGATATCTCTACGGTGGTCTCCTTAAAAAATTACGAAACGATCGTCCAGTGGATCGCTCGATCGAAATTTTGATAAATCTGTTTTTCTTCTCTCTCTCTCTCTCTCTCTCTCTCTCTCTCTCTCTCTCTCTCTCTCTCTCTCTTCTTTGCTTCCTTTCATTTTTCTTATTTTTCCTCCTCGAACAACATAATAATTTTTTTCTCAACATTTCTTTCTTGAAATCTTAATAATTCGCATATACATTCGAATAAGAAAAATTCTCACGAGGATATATTTCTTTTTTCGCTCTTTTTTTCTTTTTTCTTTTTTTTATTACTTTCTTTTTTCCCCTTTTTCAAATGAATCCGTTGTTAGCGTTTCATGAAAATTTATCTCTTTTCTACCACGTGATACTTTGTTATCTCCCGTAAAATTACTCGTAGAGAGGAGTATGACATAACGTGAGAAGTTAAGCAGAAATCGCATTCGTTGAATATGATAAAGCGAAACGAAAATTTATCTAAATACGAGTTAACGAGATAAAAGTACATTCTTAGAATGTCCTATTCATTTTGATGAGAAAGAATGAGAGAAAGTTTGATGGAAAATAATCATAGATCCGTCTATGCGATTAGAATTTTGTATGATATTATGAGAGTTCTCTTAGATGATCTCCGTCGAAGAAGAAACCAGAGACGAAATGGAATAATGTTACAAACCGAGCTTATAAACCAACCTGTAATGTGTCAGCGTATATGCGTGTGCGTATGCGTTTACATGTGTAAGATCAATCGGTGTATGCGTGTGCGTGTATGTGTGTGTGTGTAACTAACCGAAGCGAAAGGTGTTAGCTTCGATACTGTAACGTTCGATCAATTCAAAGCGTTTGACCTTGGTACGTATAGCGTAATAATAATAATGTAACTACGTAAAATCATCATCGGACAGGTTATTATTACAACGTTAATGAGAACGATCTTAAAAGTGAAAATATGATATGGACGATTTATTTATTTATTTTATTTCTTTTTTATTTTTTTTTATTCTTTTTTTTGAACGATAAAAAACGAAATTAGTTTTCTTCAGTTATATCCGATGTTGATTCAAAGATATCATACGATTTGATACGATCTAAAGGAAAACGATGACGATCGAAACAATCTTATCCGAAAGATCGTCAAAATTCTTCTTTCCGTTGTTGTTGCGGAACTAGTAGAGCCGAAGTATCTTTCGGATTAAATTAAGGTTCATAAAATTTATCGAAGGACGTTAATGTTTCCTTCGCGTTGAAAGATATTGCATCGTAAAAAGACGACGATTCTATCTTCAGTTACTTTTTTACAGTATTTCGTAAAGAACTTGGTGCTAACCTCGAAACGACTCTCGAAACTCCAAAAGAGTAGTTTGTTAAAATGAGGCAGAGAGAAAGAGAGAGAGAGAGAGAGAGAAGATTAAGAAGACGTTGTATAAATTTGCACGAGAGATTAAATGGATAAAATCGAAATTACGAGTTTCGAAGCGACTCGAACTCGATTCTATGGCAATTTTGTCAAGTAATCATGCCTAATACACGACTTCCCTGTGCAAAGAAAGAGAGAGAGAGAGAGAGAGAGAGAGAAAGCTTTCGAGTTAGATAAATCAGGTCGAAACGACGATGTCTTTAAAGAAGAAGGAAGAAGGGTGCCCCTGCCAATGGAGACCCCTACTTTGAGCAGGTAAAGGTAACAAATCACTTTTCAACGACGAGAGGCGGAACTACGAGGTAAGGTTTTCTGAAAGGAGGCGGCTTCTCCGTGGGGAACCACTTGACGTGTCCTTACACACGATTCCTGACACAATGCGCCGGATCGTTTCACACTCAATAAGAGAAGAATGCGTGAATCGCAAACAGACCTTAAAGACAATGGCCAAGAAGATGGAGAAGAAGGAGAAGAAGAAGAAGAAGAAGAAGAAGAAGAAGAAGAAGAAGAAGAAAGAACCTTGAACGAGGAGTCTGGAAACCGGTAAGTGTACGAACGTAGAAACTTCGAATAAAGTTAGCGATGTATCTAAGAAGGAAAAGAAGGAAGGAAATGAAACAAGAAGAAGAAGGAGAAGAAGAAGAAGAAGAAGAAGAAGAAGGAAAATGAAAGGAAAAAAAATATATAGAAAAAATAAATAATAAAAAAAAAAAAAAAAAAAAAAAAAAGAAAAAGGAGGAAAAAAAGAAGAGAAGAAAAAAGAAATGTTTGCACAGAGAACGACGAGGAAGATATCGGTGGGTACAAGGAGGAAGAAGAAGACGGAGAAAAAAATGCAAAACGGGCGGGCACCGTAGCTCGTATTTTCTTGTAAAATCGACGAATCACTCGAAGTACCGAGATCCTTCGCAAACTCGATTCCAGGGAGAAACTCCGACGAACGAAATAAAAGGAGCACCGTGCGTGCGCGCGCGTGAGAGAGAGAAAGAGAGAGAGAGAGAGAGAGAGAGAGAGAGAGAGAGAGAGAGAGAGAGAGAGAGAGAGAGAGAGAGCACACGAGGGATCGCCGTGTCTCGCGTTATCTCGAAGAAGATCGAAAGAGAAGAAGAAGAAGAAGAAGAAGAAGAAGAAGAAAGCGGCGTCTAGAAAAATTATTCGTTTCCAGTTTCGCGGATATTCAACGTGTCGTCGTCGATACGTAAGACGAAGCAACGAGAGAGAAAAAGAGAAAGAAAAAGAGAGAGAGACAGAGAGAGAGAGAGAGAGAGAGAGAGAACAACAAAGACGAAGAGTATGATGATCGGCGAAGTGCTGAAAAATCTTTTCGCATAAGATAAAAAAAAAGATATATATATATATATGACCGTGACAAGTGTGGAGGTGGATGGGGGATAGGGCAAACATACAAATGATCGAACGAGGAAATTTTCTTAAGTTCTCGCGAACGGTATATTCGCACAAAGGCATTAAGCAAACATCCTCTTTCGAGATTCCATTCTCTCGTGACAGAATCGTAGAAACGATGTGAGAAGAGATGACAGGAGGGCAAGGTTGCAGGGACGTATCGATGTGGTCTTAGTGAAAGAAAGACGAAGGATTGTGAAGATCGAGAAGAAGAAGAAGAAGAAGAAGAAGAAGAAGAAGAAGAAGATGAAGAAGGAGACGAAGAAGAAGAAGAAGAAGAAGAAGAAGGAGAATGAGAAGGAAACTGTATAAGAGCGAAAGAGAAGAAGAGAGGGAGGGGTACGTAGTGGTAGAGGCCAGAAGAGAATAAGATAGAAAGGGACGGACTCCTCACGATGAAAAGAAGAAGGCGGGACAAGGAAATAAGAACGTAGTGGATGGAGGCTGCAGATGCTGAGGAGCCACTGTAAGAGCCCGGAGAGTGTACCTGTCTTGTTTTTATAGGCTTGCCAGAACGTCGGGCCCTGGCTACGGAGGACGACGACGACGACGACGACGACGACGACGACGACGACGACGACGACGACGACGACGACGACGAGGACGACGACGACGACGAAGGAGAAGAAGCAGAAGAAGAAGAAGAAGAAAGAGAAGGAGACGAAGAAGACGAGGAAAAGGAGGAGAAAGAATAAAAGGAAGAGGAGGAGAAGATGGAGGAGGAGAAGAGAGGAGAGTTAGAGAGGTGGGAGAAGGAAGGCCGGCTGCTATGGATACGAGAGGGGTCAGCGAGGAAGAGGGAGAACCGTTGAGGGCCGGAGGGCGACCGGAGGGGCGAGGTAAGAGAGCGGAGGAGCCAGCTTGGGCCTTACAACTTGCCAACCAGTTCTCGGAGAACCGCGGGTCTTGCCAGAGCCGTATACACGCGCGTCGACGCCCGCGACTTTATTTCATCTCTTCTTCTCGCCTCCTCCTCCTTTTTCTTCGTCTTCTTCTTCTTCTTCTTCTTCTTCGTCTTCTTCATCTTCTTAGCCGAGAAAGTCGATAACTTTTTCGAGATCAGTGAACCCGCGGCCCGTGGAATTTCTTTACTCGTTACGTTTCGTTACGTTCTAAGACCGGACGTAATTTTTAAGAGGATTTAAGCCGACCGTGTATCGTGTAATTGTATAAGTCGAGGGAGAAAATAAAGAAGGAAAAAAGAACGAGACAGATATAAAGATAAATAAATAAATAAATAAATAAATAAATAAATATAGATAAATAGATATATAGATAGATAGATATACAGATAGATAAAGAAAGAAAGAGAGGGAGGATAGCCAGTGGAGAAAGGTCAACATACTTGGCGTTTTGTGCGACGAGATCTTCGTAGAAAAGAAGTGTTTGTGAGTGTGCCCTTTACATTGGAAAAGCAGTGTTGTGCGTTGGGAAGGTGTGCCAACGTTTGAAAAATAAAAAGCAAAATAAAATATAAAAAAGAATCATAGATAAAAGAGTTGGATTAGATGGATCGGTGCGGGCATTGTGTAGCGACGCGGGTGCATCGTTAGAGGATCAATAGTGTACAATAGGAGTAAAAGAAGAAGAAGAAGAAGAAGAAAGAAAGATTTCATGGGATATTGAGAACCCGGAGAACGGCGGAAAGATGCGGGGTAGTCCTGCCTTCTTCGCCATATTACTCGGCACGATATTCGGCGTCCTCGGTGCGTCTCTCAGCAAGGCGTTGAGGTACAAAGCGCCGGACGAGTGCAAATGGGTTACCGCGGGCGATGCCGAGGATGACGTTTCCTTGGTATGCCGTTTGAGGACAATCAATAGCGAACTGGAGAACACCAATTTCAGTGTTATACAACCCCAGCACACGGTTCGCTTACGTCTCGAATGTAGCGACGCTCTTTTCTATCAGAGTTCCCTAACCGCCGGTAGCTTTAGGCCGTTGGTCGAGCTCCGTGAGCTCGTTATCGAGTATTGCAAGATAGGCAATCTCTCGGACGACGCGTTCAAAGGTCTTCGAGAGTTGCGTAACTTGACCGTTAGGACGCACAATACCGATTGGTCCGCTATGGCATTGGACGTTTCGGCCGGTGCATTCACGGACGAGCTTCGTCAATTGGAAAAGCTCGATCTAGGTGAAAACAATATATGGAATATACCGGAAGGTGCTCTCTGTCCTTTGATCAACTTGGAAATTCTCAATTTGACGAGGAACCGTTTGAGAGAGGTGACGAGTTTTCGCTTCAATGCAATCAGCAAGTGCCTTTCGAGCTTGAAAGAACTCGATCTTAGCAACAATAGCATCGAGTCCCTGCCTACCGCCGCGTTCTCCGGTTTGACCAGATTACACAGCTTGGATCTACGGTGCAACGCCATAGGCTTTATGGCGGATCGTGCTTTCGAGGGCCTCTCGTCCCTGGCCATCTTGAAACTTGCCGACAATCGTCTCTCCAGTTTACCCCCCGAGCTATTCAGCGACGCGAGAAGCATTCAAGAGATTCATCTTAGGAACAACACCTTGAACGTGCTACCGCCCGGTCTCTTTGGTGAACTCACGCAATTGTTGGTGCTTGACTTGTCGCGTAACGAACTGACGGTCGAATGGGTGAACGCCGCGACATTCGGTGGTCTCGTAAGATTGGTCGTATTGGATCTATCGAGTAATCGGATAAATCGACTGGATCCGACTGTATTCCGTGATCTTTACAGTTTACAGATATTACGATTACAGGAAAATCTTTTGGAGAGTTTACCGGAGAACACGTTCTCCGCCCTTTACAATCTTCATACGTTACTTTTGAGTGACAACAGATTGACCGTAATAGATGCAACCACTCTAAGTGGACTTTACGTATTAAGCTTGCTCTCCCTCGACAACAACAGAATCCATACGATACATCCGAGCTCTCTGAAGAACGCCTCGTCTCTCCAGGATCTTCATCTTAACGGTAATCGACTGACATCGGTGCCGGACGCCTTGAAAGCCACTCCCCTATTGCGTACTCTCGACCTGGGCGAGAATCTCATTTCCGAGATACCGAGTGGCACCTTCGACCACGTGGCACAACTCTATGGTCTTCGATTGACCGAGAATCACATAGGGAATCTTACCAAGGGAATCTTCGATCGTATCAAAGAATTGAAGATTTTGAATCTATCGAGAAATCGAATACAATACATCGAGCCAGGAACGTTCGATGAGAATCTCAATCTCCAGGCAATACGTCTCGATGGGAATCAGTTGACTGACATTGCCGGACTCTTCACCAATTTACCGAATCTCGTATGGTTGAACGTCAGTGACAACAAACTGAAGTGGTTCGATTACGCGATGATACCGACGGGACTCCAGTGGCTCGACATACATTCGAACGAGATACGCGAGCTAGGGAATTACTTTGAAATAGAGAGTCAATTACAATTGAGTACCTTTGACGCAAGTGAGAACAAGCTAATGGAGATTACGGGCAACGCGATACCGATGAGCGTAGAATTGCTCTTTCTCAATGACAATTTAATATCGAAGGTGCAGAGTTATTCTTTCTTCAAGAAACCAAATTTGACGCGGGTCGATCTGAAGGGCAATCAGATACGGAATCTCGAGCCGTACGCGTTACGGATCAGCGCCGTACCACCGGACAAACCATTACCGGAGTTCTACATCGGTGACAATCAGTATTTATGCGATTGTACGATGGAATGGTTGCAACGCGTAAACCGACAAAACCAAACGCGAGTTCAACCAAGAGTGATGGATCTAGAAAGTATTTACTGCAAGCTTCTTTACGATCGCGAACACGCATTCGTACCATTGGTCGAAGCGTCCCATTCCCAATTCCTTTGCAAATACGAAACTCATTGTTTCGCGCTCTGTCACTGTTGCGACTTCGACGCTTGTGATTGCGAAATGACGTGCCCGTTGAACTGCACTTGCTATCACGATCAATCCTGGTCGGCGAACGTCGTGGATTGTTCGAACGGCGGGCACACGAACAAACTGCCCGAACAGATACCGATGGACGCCACTCGGCTCTACCTCGACGGTAACGATCTCCGAGTCGTGTCCAGTCACGCTTTCATCGGCCGTAAGAAGCTGAAAGTTCTCTTTCTGAACTCGTCCAACATCGAGATCGTGCAGAACAGGTCGTTCAACGGACTACGCGACCTCGAGGATCTTCACTTGCAGGACAACAGGGTTCGTGAGTTACGGGGACACGAGTTCGAGGGATTGGACGCTCTTAGGCAGCTACATCTTCAACGGAATCAGCTCGTCTCGATCGGTAACGACACGTTCGCGCCGTTACGTTCTTTGAGAGTTCTAAGATTGCAAAGTAACCGGCTTACGACTTTGGCGGTCTGGACGTTACCTTCATCGATCGAGGTCAGCCTATCGGCTAATCCTTGGTCCTGCGAGTGTGACTATCTTCAGAGTTATCGCGAATGGATACGCGAACCGAATGTTCGTGTAACGGACGCTTCTGAGTTACGTTGCGTTTACAACGTCACGGAGTTCGAAGCCTTCGGCGACGAGACATTTACCGACGACGAGTTTGGCTTCTCCGTAACGGCAAACGATCGTGACACGAACGTTAATGGGAGTGCCAGTTCCTCGTGTACCGGTGCGGTTCCTATAGACAACG